GAATGGCATGGGATGGCATGGGATGGCATGGGATGGCATGGGATGGCATGGGATGGCATGGAATGGCATGGGATGGCATGGGATGGCATGGGATGGCATGGGATGGCATGGGATGGCATGGGATGGCATGGAATGGCATGGGATGGCATGGGATGGCATGGGATGGCATGGGATGGCATGGGATGGCATGGGATGGCATGGGATGGCATGGAATGGCATGGGATGGCATGGGATGGCATGGGATGGCATGGGATGGCATGGGATGGCATGGCATGGATGGCATGTGATGACATGGAATGGCATGGGATGGCATGGGATGGCATGGAATGGCATGGGATGGATGGCATGTGATGACATGGAATGGCATGGGATGGCATGGGATGGCATGGGATGGATGGCATGTGATGACATGGAATGGCATGGGATGGCATGGGATGGCATGGGATGGCATGGGATGGCATGGAATGGCATGGGATGGCATGGGATGGCATGGGATGGCATGGGATGGCATGGGATGGCATGGGATGGCATGGGATGGCATGGGATGGCATGGGATGGCATGGAATGGCATGGGATGGCATGGGATGGCATGGCATGGATGGCATGTGATGACATGGAATGGCATGGGATGGCATGGGATGGCATTTGATGGATGGCATGTGATGACATGGAATGGCATGGGATGGCATGGGATGGCATGGGATGGATGGCATGTGATGACATGGAATGGCATGGGATGGCATGGGATGGCATGGGATGGCATGGGATGGCATGGGATGGCATAGAATGGCATGGGATGGCATGGGATGGCATGGGATGGCATGGGATGGCATGGGATGGCATGGGATGGCATGGGATGGCATGGAATGGCATGGGATGGCATGGGATGGCATGGGATGGCATGGGATGGCATGGGATGGCATGGGATGGCATGGGATGGCATGGAATGGCATGGGATGGCATGGGATGGCATGGGATGGCATGGGATGGCATGGGATGGCATGGCATGGATGGCATGTGATGACATGGAATGGCATGGGATGGCATGGGATGGCATGGGATGGCATGGGATGAATGGCATGTGATGACATGGAATGGCATGGGATGGCATGGGATGGCATGGGATGGATGGCATGTGATGACATGGGATGGCATGGGATGGCATGGGATGGCATGGGATGGCATGGGATGGCATGGGATGGCATGGGATGGATGGCATGTGATGACATGGAATGGCATGGGATGGCATGGGATGGCATGGGATGGCATGGGATGGCATGGGATGGCATGGGATGGCATGGGATGGCATGGAATGGCATGGGATGGCATGGGATGGATGGCATGTGATGACATGGAATGGCATGGGATGGCATGGGATGGCATGGGATGGATGGCATGTGATGACATGGAATGGCATGGGATGGCATGGGATGGCATGGGATGGCATGGGATGGCATGGGATGGCATGGAATGGCATGGGATGGCATGGGATGGCATGGGATGGCATGGGATGGCATGGGATGGCATGGCATGGATGGCATGTGATGACATGGAATGGCATGGGATGGCATGGGATGGCATGGGATGGCATGGGATGGATGGCATGTGATGACATGGAATGGCATGGGATGGCATGGGATGGCATGGGATGGCATGGGATGGCATGGAATGGCATGGGATGGCATGGGATGGCATGGGATGGCATGGGATGGCATGGGGTGGCATGGAATGGCATGGGATGGCATGGGATGGCATGGGATGGCATGGGATGGCATGGAATGGCATGGGATGGCATGGGATGGATGGCATGTGATGACATGGAATGGCATGGGATGGCATGGGATGGCATGGGATGGCATGGGATGTCATGGGATGGCATGGCATGGATGGCATGTGATGACATGGAATGGCATGGGATGGCATGGGATGGCATGGGATGGCATGGGATGGCATGGGATGGCATGGGATGGCATGGGATGGCATGGAATGGCATGGGATGGCATGGGATGGCATGGCATGGATGGCATGTGATGACATGGAATGGCATGGGATGGCATGGGATGGCATGGGATGGATGGCATGTGATGACATGGAATGGCATGGGATGGCATGGGATGGCATGGGATGGATGGCATGTGATGACATGGAATGGCATGGGATGGCATGGGATGGCATGGGATGGCATGGGATGGCATGGGATGGCATGGAATGGCATGGATGGCATGGGATGGCATGGGATGGCATGGGATGGCATGGGATGGCATGGGATGGCATGGAATGGCATGGGATGGCATGGGATGGCATGGGATGGCATGGGATGGCATGGGATGGCATGGGATGGCATGGGATGGCATGGAATGGCATGGGATGGCATGGGATGGCATGGGATGGCATGGGATGGCATGGGATGGCATGGCATGGATGGCATGTGATGACATGGAATGGCATGGGATGGCATGGGATGGCATGGGATGGCATGGGATGGATGGCATGTGATGACATGGAATGACATGGGATGGCATGGGATGGCATGGGATGGATGGCATGTGATGACATGGAATGGCATGGGATGGCATGGGATGGCATGGGATGGCATGGGATGGCATGGGATGGCATGGAATGGCATGGGATGGCATGGGATGGCATGGGATGGCATGGGATGGCATGGAATGGCATGGGATGGCATGGGATGGATGGCATGTGATGACATGGAATGGCATGGGATGGCATGGGATGGCATGGGATGGCATGGGATGGCATGGGATGGCATGGCATGGATGGCATGTGATGACATGGAATGGCATGGGATGGCATGGGATGGCATGGGATGGCATGGGATGGCATGGGATGGCATGGGATGGCATGGAATGGCATGGGATGGCATGGGATGGCATGGGATGGCATGGGATGGCATGGGATGGCATGGCATGGATGGCATGTGATGACATGGAATGGCATGGGATGGCATGGGATGGCATGGGATGGATGGCATGTGATGACATGGAATGGCATGGGATGGCATGGGATGGCATGGGATGGATGGCATGGGATGGCATGGGATGGATGGCATGTGATGACATGGAATGGCATGGGATGGCATGGATTGGCATGGGATGACATGGAATGGCATGGGATGGCATGGGATGGCATGGGATGGCATGGGATGGCATGGGATGGCATGGCATGGATGGCATGTGATGACATGGAATGGCATGGGATGGCATGGGATGGCATGGGATGGCATGGGATGGCATGGGATGGCATGGAATGGCATGGGATGGCATGGGATGGCATGGGATGGCATGGGATGGCATGGGATGGCATGGCATGGATGGCATGTGATGACATGGAATGGCATGGGATGGCATGGGATGGCATGGGATGGATGGCATGTGATGACATGGCATGGCATGGGATGGCATGGGATGGCATGGGATGGCATGGGATGGATGGCATGTGATGACATGGAATGGCATGGGATGGCATGGGATGGCATGGGATGGCATGGGATGGCATGGGATGGCATGGAATGGCATGGGATGGCATGGGATGGCATGGGATGGCATGGGATGGCATGGGATGGCATGGGATGGCATGGAATGGCATGGGATGGCATGGGATGGCATGGGATGGCATGGGATGGCATGGGATGGCATGGGATGGCATGGGATGGCATGGAATGGCATGGGATGGCATGGGATGGCATGGGATGGCATGGGATGGCATGGGATGGCATGGCATGGATGGCATGTGATGACATGGAATGGCATGGGATGGCATGGGATGGCATGGGATGGCATGGGATGGATGGCATGTGATGACATGGAATGGCATGGGATGGCATGGGATGGCATGGGATGGATGGCATGTGATGACATGGAATGGCATGGGATGGCATGGGATGGCATGGGATGGCATGGGATGGCATGGGATGGCATGGAATGGCATGGGATGGCATGGGATGGCATGGGATGGCATGGGATGGCATGGAATGGCATGGGATGGCATGGGATGGATGGCATGTGATGACATGGAATGGCATGGGATGGCATGGGATGGCATGGGATGGCATGGGATGGCATGGGATGGCATGGCATGGATGGCATGTGATGACATGGAATGGCATGGGATGGCATGGGATGGCATGGGATGGCATGGGATGGCATGGGATGGCATGGAATGGCATGGGATGGCATGGGATGGCATGGGATGGCATGGGATGGCATGGCATGGATGGCATGTGATGACATGGAATGGCATGGGATGGCATGGGATGGCATGGGATGGATGGCATGTGATGACATGGAATGGCATGGGATGGCATGGGATGGCATGGGTTGGATGGCATGTGATGACATGGAATGGCATGGGATGGCATGGGATGGCATGGGATGGCATGGGATGGCATGGGATGGCATGGAATTGCATGGGATGGCATGGGATGGCATGGGATGGCATGGAATGGCATGGGATGGCATGGGATGGATGGCATGTGATGACATGGAATGGCATGGGATGGCATGGGATGGCATGGGATGGCATGGCATGGATGGCATGTGATGACATGGAATGGCATGGGATGGCATGGGATGGCATGGGATGGCATGGGATGGCATGGGATGGCATGGCATGGATGGCATGTGATGACATGGAATGGCATGGGATGGCATGGCATGGATGGCATGTGATGCATGGTATGGCATGTGATGATGCATGGTATGGCATGTGATGCATGGTATGGCATGGGATGGCATGGCATTATGACATACCGAACAGCTTTGGTGCCTGAAGCTCTTGTTGCTGTCATCCCCCCTGTAGTTGTGCGCACTCACACACATGGTAAGCCACGGATGGGGGGGGGAAGAGGGACACACGGGGGGAGGAGCAGACGAGCTGTGGCTGCGTGGCATTCTGCCCTGCGCAGCATACGGCTGGTTTCAATTTTGGAGTTATATTGGTATTTGTTTGTGACTATGGTGCATTCCGAGCCTGCCACGCACCTATGGTGCATTCCGAGCCTGCCACTCACCTATGGTGCATTCCGAGCCTGGGTCAACGGGGAAGAAGAGCCCCAAGTCGTGCAGATGGTGGTTGAGCTGCTGACGTGTGACCCCTGCCTGCACCCTGCAGTCCATGTCCTCTGCATGCACCTCCACCACCTGAAGACAAAAAGGCACAGGACACGCATTCTCCAAGGCACAGCTTTTGCCTGAAGTCTTTGACAGGCGTAAAACCCTGCACCCTGCACTCCCCACTCTCCACTCTCCATTCCACATAACAGCATCTCCATCTGCCCGCCCCTGCCTCATATGCCAATCAAGGTAACTGTTACCTGGTAACCCCACCATACCTCGTTCATCTGCGACAGGTCAATGGAGACCCCCCCACAGAGCGCCGCCACGTGGCCTTCCAAAGAGGTGCCGGCACCATAGGGAATGACGGGCACGCGGGCGGCGGCGCATGCAGTTACCAGCTGTTGCACTTGGTGGGTGGAGTGGGCGAATGCGACCGCGTCTGGTGGGACAGCCTCGTGGTATGACTCGTCCCTGCCATGCTGCTCCAACACCTGGTTACGTGGCAACATCATGCCATTAAGCCATCATTCCGTCAAGCCATCATGCCATCATGTCACCATGCCATCATGTCACGATGCCATCATGTCACCATGCCATCATGTCACCATGCCATCATGTCACCATGCCATCATGTCATCATGCCATCATGTCACCATGCCGTCATGTCACCATGCCATCATGTCACATGCCATCATGTGACCAGGCCACATGCCATCATCACATCGTGCCTTCATGGAACCATACCCCATTACCACAAATTCAGTGAGGAAAGAAAGCCCTGGAGGAAGGGGCAGAGGAGGAGGAGGCAACGAGTAGGCCCCGTAATTTCCCTTTAATAATCATCCCACGGGTATCCCCAACACCGAAGCATCCCACGAATATTTCCAATATTCAAGAATCCCAGGTATATATTCATCATTCAAAGCAACCGCCGTATACCCCAATATTCAAGCTTCCCACCGTTCGGTTCGTCGTCACGTTTGCGTCGCCCACGATGGATCGCAGGCGACGCAGCAACGCGTCGTCCACTCGCCCGTACGACGTCTGTCGCACAGCAGGAACGTCGCAGAGGCTCCACTTCACGGGGTTGTCGCCAGGGTTGATGTTTCCGCATCGCCTGGTAGTCGCAGGAGACGCGTCGGTTTCCGGAGAATCTGCTACCCCTGCCGACGTCCGTCTTTGTTCGTCTGTTAGCCGTTTCCTGGTCGCGACTCCCGTTCGCGACGTCGCTATTACTACTGTAACTCCGTTTCGCATCGTGACCGTAACGCTTTCGCCAACTCCCAACGGCGTTGCTACTATCGTCGCTTTTCCCAGCAGCACACGAGCCGTTTCGGCGACTACTCCTACCGTCAAAACCGTAACTGCACAATAGCGATTCCCGCTGGTCGATTCCAAGAGAACCGTCGAAAGCGAAGGAGCTCGCCGATTTCTCCAGAAAAAAAGGACCCGACGACGGCGGAGGTTGAATGTGCGCGCGACGCGCTACGGGAGGAGATTGGTAACTAGTGGTAGTGAGGCTGGAATCAACAAAGAACGCGGCGATGCTCATGCCGGCGCGTTGCAAGAACCGCGGCGAAGCGCAACGAGCAGAACATGGGATCATGATAACGGTCTTAGGATCGTAAACACCTTAGTCGGCAATAGTCTACTTGCTATTGCTTATCGTGTTCTCCACGATCTCCCAAATCCAACGATATGCGCAGCTCTGCTTGAAGTTGTCAATACACACTTCAGCAATTTCAGAATCTCAATGTTGTCCAATGTTGTGATTTCCAGAATGAGTACAAGCAGTTTTATGGTCAGGCAAGACACAAAATGCGATTCGTAACTTCACTTGTTTCCCAAGTAACCGCGTGTGCCTCGTTTCACCCCGAGTCGCACACGGAACCGAACCGAATGCACCGAACACTTCTTGAGTCCGAATCTCGAACCTTCTCGAACGCGCCTCAAGCTCGAACCACAATTTCCCCCGTCGATCTCATTCTCGATGCTTCTCCTTCTCTATTCCTCCTTCCTGCACATTCCTTCTCGATTTCCTTCCCGCTTCTCACGCCGTAGCTTCTATTCTCCACCGTAGGTCGATTTCCACCGTCTTAGATCTAAAATCTCCCACGCACTCCATTCCGCCGTCATTCCGCATCTCGCCGTAGGTTTCGTGGTTCGTCGAACCAACCCTAACAATCTCCCCTGTGGTTCGTCAACCACGAACTCCACTCGCACTCCTCCCCTGCTTCTTGTAGCCTTCACAGGGTCTAAGTCGGCTTCAAGCTCTCCTGCAGGTCCTCCACCTTGAACCTCTCCTTACGTGTCTTGAATTTGAGCGCCTTGACGTCCAAACCTCGAGACATTTTCTTAAGCCTCTCACTTCTCCTCGGCATCTTAACACCCAACACATCTCGGGTCTCGTACCCCTCAACGTGTTCCTCTTTCATAAGCACTCGCCCCTTTGCAGTTGCATTCGCCGTTGATCCCTTCACCATGATGTCCCCTTTCACAGCTTCAACTGCCACACACTTCGCATTTGCTGCTTCATCTTCAACCACGATCGCTGCTGCAAAGGTGTTGACACCATCTCCATCGCCACCATTCACTGCTGCTGCCTCCATGGCGACTATCTCCTCTTTCTGCTTCACTGATGCCTCCACACTCGTTCCCGTATCATCCGTGTCCTCGCTCTCATCAACCTCAGTAGACTCAGGATCCTCATAGATCTCATCCTTGTCGTTCATCGCTATCAAGTTCATCTCATAGAACCCGTCACTGAAGTATCCATCGGCATACTTCTCCCACTCAGGACCAAACACTGTAACCTCGCCTTTGTCATAAAATATCTTGCACCCCAAGTCATCAAGCTGTGACTGACTGACCAAATTCACCTTTAAATCCTCAACCAGCAGCACACTGTCTAGTTTCACCTCTCCATACGGACTCTGCAGCACCACGTCACCCTCTCCTGTCACTGGCAACTTCCCGCTGTTACCTTGCAGTATATAATCCTCACTCGAGTCCCTCACATTCTCCATCCAATCTGACCTGAATGTCATGTGACGCGTGCATCCGCTGTCCATGAACCATGCCGTCTTCTCACGATCGTCCGTCTGCCGAACCTCCTTTGGTAAACGCACCACATTCGCAAGATGCGCTCCTCCAAAAATCACATCTTCCTTTTCCGCTTCTGCTACATTCGCCTTTGTCGCATTCACCATAGCCGACCTCTCCTCGTGTAATTCCGCTGCTGCTGCCGCTTTCTTTTTCCTCATCTCCTTCACCGTCTCAAGCGATTGCAGAATCTCCTGCAGCTTCGTCAAACTCTCCGGCGGTTGGTACGTAAACATACCGATGTCGGATTCCCACTCCTTAGGAAGGCCTTGGATGATATAGTCAATCATCTCCTGCTCCGTCTCCGCGGCTCCCATCACCCGCAAGTCGTCGTTGTAGTTTTTCGCCCTGTTGATGTAGGTGATGATTTTCTCGCCTTTCTCCATGCTCAGCATCAGCAGTTGCTTCCTAATCGCCTTCTTGTTGACATCGTTCGTACCCATGTACGTGGACTCCAGGTACTCCCACGCTCGCTGTGCAGAGTTCAGCTCCCCTGCAAACTGGTCCAAATCCACCGCGATTCCATCGGCAACTGAGTGACAAAGCTGAAAGAACGCTTGCTTACTTTGTTTTTTGAACGCCGCTATTTTCTCCTTCGTATCCGTCGGGGATGGCGCAACTCCCTCCATCGTCTCCTCGTCGGGACGGTAATACGGCAAGAGGTCCACCTCCTCTGCCCTGCGAATGAACTTCTTCCGCCACACGTTGTAGTTGCTTCCGTTGAAGCGCTGGGCTTCACTGAGCCCGATCGTCGGTTTCGCCACCAATCGGCCACTCGCAAGGGCCTCGAGAAGAGCCTTCAACTGCGGGTCTCCAAGACTCACACTGGAACCCGAACTCGCCTCGTCTCCCATGGCGTAGGCGTGAACGACTCCTCTTCTCCACTAATTTCACTTAGCGCACCAAGTGAATTCACGACGATCGACGCGACCGTTCGCCAAGCTCTGATACCAGTTCTTAGGATCGTAAACACCTTAGTCGGCAATAGTCTACTTGCTATTGCTTATCGTGTTCTCCACGATCTCCCAAATCCAACGATATGCGCAGCTCTGCTTGAAGTTGTCAATACACACTTCAGCAATTTCAGAATCTCAATGTTGTCCAATGTTGTGATTTCCAGAATGAGTACAAGCAGTTTTATGGTCAGGCAAGACACAAAATGCGATTCGTAACTTCACTTGTTTCCCAAGTAACCGCGTGTGCCTCGTTTCACCCCGAGTCGCACACGGAACCGAACCGAATGCACCGAACACTTCTTGAGTCCGAATCTCGAACCTTCTCGAACGCGCCTCAAGCTCGAACCACAATTTCCCCCGTTGATCTCATTCTCGATGCTTCTCCTTCTCTATTCCTCCTTCCTGCACATTCCTTCTCGATTTCCTTCCCGCTTCTCACGCCGTAGCTTCTATTCTCCACCGTAGGTCGATTTCCACCGTCTTAGATCTAAAATCTCCCACGCACTCCATTCCGCCGTCATTCCGCATCTCGCCGTAGGTTTCGTGGTTCGTCGAACCAACCCTAACAAACGGCTACTAGATGCGAAGCGCTCGGCGGAGAGAGAGTTGTCACGGGTCACGCTTATGTGACAGGCTGACGGAGTGGGCTGGAAATGCCTGGGAATCTGGCATCCCTTACCTCCAGCTGGTATCTTCCATCACAGCCTCGATGCGAGTAGCCTTGGTGTTGCCGAAACATTATCTCTATTGAATGACTGGTTTCGGATTGTGGTTGGTATTCGAGTGCACTGCAACGGGTATTTTCATACATATCAGTCCGTAATAAACGTAACCGGTGTACACTCGCGTTGTCGAATTTGCGATTTGATATTGATGAGCCTGTGTCTAGCGAATTGTGTCACATGTGGTACAGTATATGAAGAGGCGAGGATCATTCTGATTGGCTTAGCTTTGCGTGTTTCACGCGTAGGGCCTTGGTTTGGCCTTTGCGTGTTTCGCGCGTTGGGCCTTGGTTTGGCCTTTGCGTGTTTCACGGTGCAGGTTTTGATTTGGCTCAGCAGCACACGTGGGTGGTGCATTTGAAACCGCGGAGAAAGGAGACTTGAGGGATCGAGCGTGACAAGGGCTGTTGTTGTGAAAGTAACCGTTTTACACGACGCTAGCTGCCAAGACAGGTCAGCCCTACACGGGGACGAGGGCGGGTGAAGCAGCATTCCATCCCATTCCATGCCCTTCGCCATAATGACACATCAATCCATGAAAAAAGATCATACGAGTTGCAGATCGGGAGAAAGAAAACGTGTGGGTGGGAGGAGGTACAGTACGTGCATGCACAGAGAAATGCGCAGAATCCCAAACCGTGCCTGGAACGGGAAGGCAAAGCACTGTACAGTATCGAAGCGACGGGAGAGACTAGCTACAACATAATGTACACTACACATGTGAAACCCTGATGCGTGCCCGTGACGGGTTGGCCGTGCAACTGCAAAGCACTTTGGGCAAAAAGTGGGTTCTTTTGCGAGTCTCGATTGGACTAACTTTGGCCCAAATTTGTACACCAATCAGACAGACCCTTTTTCCATCGACTGCAAAGCACTTGGTCTACTTGAGACCAAGGCTAACCAAAAGAACAGAATCCAACCGACGGGATTGGCTGACCACGGGATTGGCTGACCACTTGCGCTTGTCCACTGTCCACACCAATCCTTCCACCACCCCTCCCCCCAAGCCAGTGTAAACCAGAAGCACAAAACCAGCCCATTTTGGGTTGAGCAACAGATGAAGTTGAAATTGTGCAGTGGCAACCCATTCAATCTTTCTAGCTTGTCCAGCAGCCAGTTGCACAAGGTCCGAGTTCTGTTGATACTACTACTACTACTAGTAGTAGGCGACTCATAGTCATTACGGTATCCGGCTAGAGCCACAGGGCACACCGTGACTGCGAGTGCTCCCGTGGTGGCAACAGTCCGGCGAAATACCAGGGATTAAAGCTGAAGTATACATTTGTCAGCAGGGTTCAGGGTTTAGGGAGTGAGCCCCACAGGTTTGGGGCAACTTTTCAAATTTCAAAAGTTTTTGAACCCTTCCTTTCAAATGTATACCGCAGCTTTAACAAATTCATCCCTTTCAGTTTCTGCCACGAAATTAGACCAGCAGCGTGATAAATCCAGTCTCTCTCTTCTTGGAATTTATGGGGGAAGACCTTCAGTTCTGACTCACTAGTAGTACTAGGAGCCGCATAAGACCGCCGTTTTCCGGGAGAGCTTCTGAAAATAGGTGGGATAACCCGCCGGGACACCTAGCAGATGCAACAGTTGTAGATGCAGCAACAGCACTGCTGGCATGCAACCGGAGCAGATGTCACAGCAGCAGATGTCACAGCAGCAGATGTCACAGCAGCAGATGTCACAGCAGCAGATGTCACAGCAGCAGATGTCACCGCAGCAGATGTCACAGCAACAGATGTTGCTGCAGCAGAGATCACAGCAGCAGGTTCAACAGCAGCAACAGATGCCACAGCAACAGATGCTACAGCAACAGATGCTACAGCAACAGACGCCACAGCAACAGATGCCACAGCAACAGATGCCACAGCAACAGATGCTACAGCAACAGATGCTACAGCAACAGATGCTACAGCAACAGATGCTACAGCAACAGATGCCACAGCAACAGACGCCACAGCAACAGATGCCACAGCAACAGATGTCACAGCAGCAGACGGCACAGCAGCAGACGGCACAACAGCAGATGTCACTACAACCACAACAACAGCCACAGCCACAGCCACAGCTACAGTCACAGCCAGAGCTACAGGTTCAGCCAGAGCAGCTACCACCACACCGGATCCAGCAGCTCTCCTCTCAGCTACAGCCGCTGCTACAGCCGCACTCGTTGCAAGCACTAGAACAAGGTGAGGCTGCTACTGATGCAGAGCCATTAGGGCCATTAGAGCCATTAACGCGTGGAAGATGGCGCAGCAGAATGGCGCGCAGCCGCAACTACAACCAGCCAGGGCGGTACCGGGGAGTGAGGAAGCGAGGGGAATTTTGTTACATTGCAGAGATTAAAGACACCACTAATGGGGTCCGCAGGTGGTTGGGCACGTTCCGTTCTGCAGAGGACGCTGCTAGGGCGTTTGATGAAGCTGCTCTGAAAATTCGAGGAGCAAAAGCAAAGCTTAATTTCCCAGGTCGGTATCTTCAGAAAGGGGGAGGGGTAGAAGCACTGGGTTCGGATCCTGCAGCCTCATTGGGTGCAGCGACTAGGATTGAAACAGCAGGAAGGGTTGCAGGGCAGGATGGCGGAGAGATTGGCATGGGAGTGCAAACAGGTGGGGTGGTAACCCAGGTTAGGGAGGATAGTAGTACTAGGAGCTGTGGAAGGAAAGGGATGGGATATGGTGAAGATACTGCAGCAGGGGGATTGGTGGGAGAAAGTGTGGGTCAGACGATGCAGAGAGAGGGAAGAGCTAGGGAGGTAACAGCGGCCTTTGTGGTGCCTGACAGGCCGTTCGGAGAGGGATCAAGTAGGGAAGTAGCGGAGAGCTTTGCGGCGCCTCGGAGGCCGTTTGGAGAGGGAACAAGTAGGGCTGGAACGGAATCCACAGACGATGCAGGTGCAGGATCAGGGGCTATGGGGCGGGAATCATCTGTACTGGTAGGAGGGGAATGCGGAGGAGGAGAAGGAGGAAGAGGAAGAGGAAGAGGAAGGGGAAGAGGAAGAGGACGTGGGAGGGGAGGAGGAGTAAGTGGAAGAACAGGAGGGGGGGTGAGAGGAGGAGGAGGAGGTGGAGGAGGAGGAGGAGGAGGAGGAGGAGGAGGAGGAGGAGGAGGAGGAGGAGGAGAAGTATTACTTGCAGCAGAAACGTCAGCAGGCATTGATAATGGGAGCAAAGGAGGAGTATACATTCCCGAAAGAAGCTCCAATGTAAGCGGTAGTAGCTCAAGCTTAGCTGCTTCTTCCTCCTCCTCCGCCCCGTCCATCTCTGTTAATTCCGCCTCTGCCTCTGCCTCCTCCGTCACTGTCGCTGCCCTCCCATCCACCTTTGTTGATATTTCAATCCCTGAAGCTGTAATCACCAGCGGCGTTCATATTCATGCCACTCTCCCCACTCACACCTCAGAATGCAACCCAATGTTTATTGGTCCCACACTGAATTGCCACTCAGTCCCACCGGAGGAGATGCCTAGTGCGATGATAACTGGACTGGGGATGTTGGGATTGGACGCACTGGGAGCAGATCTGATCGGGTTTGAAGAGATAGGGTTTGAGGAGATGGGATTTGAGGGTTTGGCAGACGGTGAGGAGGAGTGGAGCTCTTTACTTGCAGAGCAGTTTGCACAGCAGCTGCGAGCAATTGACGAAGCCGATGAGGCTGGAGGGAGTGGGGTTGGCGCTGCAAAAGGCAAGGAGGGAGTGGTCGAAAAAGAGGTGTATTCAGAGGAAGAAAGCAGCGGAAGCGGAGAGACTTTAGACGGGGAACTGGCGATGGAGGAGGGCGGAGCGCTGGAGGAGCGCGGAGCGATGGAGGAGGAAGAGGGTGCGATGGAGACATGGACGGGAATAGACGAGCGTTTGACAATGGAAATGGGGCTGCCTGATCGATGCTTCCAGCTGCCCAGCGCCAAGGATTTTCCTCACGAAAGCAGTAAGCAAATCCTGAAAACAGAAGGGATGGAGAGACAGCAAGGAGGCTGGACAGTGTCTGAGGGTGGGAATTATCCTGGTAACTACATGATGGCAATGCAGCCAAGCCAACAGGCAGAGCGATCTCAAGTAGGGATGGAGGGGCAGAGAGGAGGCTGCACTACTTCTGACGGTGAAAACGGCCGTGGTAGCTACGCGATGGCAATGCAGCCAAGCCATCTGAATACCACGGCGGTGCTATCTGAAGCTGCCCAGTCTGCACCATCTGATCCATCCTTCCCATGTCACCAGCCAGGTCAGCGGGGACAATTGCGCGAGCGTGTTCAACACGACCAAGGGGCAGGTGCGGTGGTGGGTGTGGCAGCAGCGGGTCCGTCCGGACGTGCAGGCATGGAGCAGATTCATACTCCAGTAGGAACCCCAGCACTGGCAGCAGAGCAGCACGCAGTGACAGGAGAGGAAGCATTGGCAGGGCAGAAAGCGTTGGCTAGGCTGCAAACAGCAGGGCTGCCAGTCCCAAGCGAGGCACAAGCCGTTTCATGGGGTTTCAGTGTCGAGGTGTCCGGGGGATTGATGGCGCCTGGTGAGGATGGTTCCTTGCAAGAAGCAAAGGAGGAGGTGGAGGTGGAGGTACCCGGCATGGCAGGTTCGGCTTCAAGCATGCCTTCAAGTTGGCATGCTGAAACGATGCTGCCGTATCAAGGGCATGATCCCAGCGCGCGGTGTGCTTTTACCATGACCCGCAGATCATCAGTTGTTGTGATTCCGCACGTGCGTCAGCATCGCGAGAGCCAACAGCAGCAGCAGCAGCAGCAGCAGCAGCGTCACCAGAACCGGAAGCAGCAGTGGCAGCGGCAGCAGCTGGGACAGTTGCAACAGCAGGGACAGTAGCAGGTGCAGCACCATGGGGAGCAACAGCAGCTGCACCTGCACGCATCGAGCTTCCAGAGATGCAACTCTCTTACCACTGGCAGGAGGGGAAAGGCAGCTCTACGGTGTGCTTCTACCGACCTTGTACATGAAGCATTATCCGTGGAAGAGTGGACGGAGCAGCAGATGTTTAGAACCCACACCCTAGACTTAAAAAGAGACAGCATAAAATTCCATCCTTACAGCCCTTCGACCGAGCCTAATCCCAAACCCAAGCCTAATCCAGAACCTCCCTCCGGACCTGTGCCTCTGACGCTCCGTAGGCACACTGTATCGTTTCCACTGAAGCCACCAATAGTTGGTTCTTCAAACCCAGAGTCCCAGCCCTGTGTGGGAAACGCAGGTGGAGTGGGTAGTGTGAGTGGTGCTGGAGCTGCTGGTGGTATGGGTGTTGCTGCTGCAGCTGCCAATGTGGTTCGTGGGAATGGCGTTGATGTTGCCGTCAAGGCTGCTGGTGTTGCTGGTGGCGCTGCCGGTGTTGCTGGTGGCGCTGCCGGTGTTGCTGGTGGCGCTGCCGGTGTTGCACCTGTTGTTGGTGTGACTGGTGATGCTGGTGTTTCTGGTGCTGCTGGTGTTGCTGGTGTTTTTGGTATTGCTGCTGGTGATGCTGGTGTTTCTGGTGCTGCTGGTGCTGCTGGTGCTGCTGGTGTTGCTGGTGCTGCTGGTGTTGCTGGTGCTTTTGGTATTGCTGCAGTGCCTGGCGTGTCTGGGATGGCATCCTCCCCAGCCTGCTCTCCCAAACCAATTTCGGCCATCCCTCTGCGCAGGGTGAGGCGATCCCAGTCCCATGACCAGGAACCAATGGGAGCTGGACAGCTGGGTAGGCAACTGCTGCGTGCGTCAGCATTCAAGCCAATAATTCCAGCCAGCAAGTATGCTCGAGAGCTGCACAAACGATTGGAGAAGCATCCTTGGTTACCCGCCAGGAGCTACGTTCAAGGGGTGCTGCAGCATGGACGGCTGGAGGGGCAGCAGAGGTCGTTGTTGGATGATAGACATATCCAGCAGCAGCAGCAGCAGCAGCAGCAGCAGCAGCAGCAGCAGCAGCAGCAGCAGCAGCAGCAGCAGCTGATGCAGCAGCAGCAGCAGCAGCAGCAGTCAAAGCAGCAGCAGTGGCGTTCAATTCAGCAGCAGCAATTGCAGTTGTTGCAGCAGCAAGATCAGCTGGAACTGCTGAAGCAGCATCAAGAGCAGCTCCCTCGCACCCAGCATCATCTGCCCTTCCGCAGTCAGTCCACTCCCCCCATAACACCTGCTGCCCTCACCTCCTCTGCTCTCACCTCCGCTGCTCTCACCTCCTCTGCTCTGACCTCTTCTGCCAGCACTGCTGGTGGCATCGCATCTGGGGCAACTGCTTGCACCGCTGCTGCCACCGCGGCTGGCACTGCTGGTGGTGTTGCCTCTGCCGCTGTTGCCAGAGCTGGTGCTGCCACCGCTGCTGGCACTGCTGCAGCCACTGGTGGTGGCGGTGTTGCCTCTACCGCTGTTGCCAGAGCTGGTGCTGGCGCTGCAGTCTTGCACTCGCACCATGTCATCTCAGGCTTGAGCCTTCCTCTTCCTCACCCCTCAGCCAACTTGTCGCTCCTAAGAGACACGGAACACTCTGCACTTGCTGCCTGGGGCCTCACCTCCCCATCATCTCGCATCCAGGGGACAGCCTGTCACAGCTTCAAGAATCATGTCAATGCTGCCCCCTTTATAACACATTCAGGAGTCACCAGACTAGGTTTGGAGGCTGGTGGACCAGGTACGGATGCAGGAGGATTGGCATACACAGGGAATTTCGAGCATGAAGCATCAAGTACTCATGGTGCTGGTGCTGAAACCTACACCATTGATGCACTAGAGATGTTCCTGATGGATCATGGGGAGCATAGGGAATATGAGTAGGCGTGAATTAGCAGATTTCCCTACTTGCTCAAGCCTGAACCTAAGCGCCGCTGCTCACTGGAAAATGTCCGAAGATCTGCACTTGAGATGTTCTTGATGGATCATGGGGAGCATAGGGAATATGAGTAGGGGTGATTTACATGTATTTTGCTCCTTTTTCTGTTCATTAGGCATTTTTTTGTTGTCATTAATTTATAATAAACGTGTGTTTTGTGTGTGTGTGTACGCGCGTGTGTGTGTGTGTGTGTGTGTGCGTGTGTGTGTGTGTGAGTGTGTGTGAGTGTGTGTGTGAGTGAGTATGTGTGTGACTGTGTGTGTGCGTGGATGTGTGGATATGTGTGTATGTGTGTGTGTGACTGTGTGTGTGTGTGTGTGTGTGTGTATGTGGATGTGTGGATATGTGTGTATGTGTGTGTGTGGATGCATGTGTGTGTGTGCGCATAGGAAATGATCATTGGAAAAAAATGATGGGCACCCAGGAGCGAAGGCAGTTACCACCTGTTGCTCTTGGTGTGTGGAGTGCACGAATGGGACTGCATCTGCATGGTGGGGTGTGGTGTGGTGGGGCATGGTGGGGTGTGGTGGGGCGTGGTGGGGGGAGGGGAGGTAGGGAGAGCAGCAGAGCTGATGAAAGAGGGGCTGGGGTAGGGGGATGGGGAAGGGGAAATAGGGAATGCGAACTGGGGAGGGGGAAGCGCAATGGGGATTTAGAAAGGGGAGAAAGGAAATTGCGGAAGGGGACAAGGGAAGGAGGAATCGAGATTCCGGGAAGGGGGAAAGAGAAAGGTGAGAAGGGAAGGGAAAATGGGGAAGGGGAAAAAGGGAAGGGGAAACTGGGGACGGGGAAGGGGGAATAGGAAGCAGAACAAAGAAAGTAGGCATGGCATGTGATGGCATGGGATGGGATGATGGCTAGGAATGATGGAATGGGATGGCTTGGGAAGGCATGGGTCATGGGATGGCATGGGAAGGCATGGGTCATGGGATGATAATGGCATACCGGACAGCATTGGTGCCTGATGCTCTTGTTGCTGTCATGCCCCCTGCACTCGTGCGCACGCATGGGGGGAGGCACACACAGGGGGAAGCACACACAGGGTGAGGCACACACCGGGGGAGGCACACACAGGGGGAAGCATATATGGAGGGAAGCACACATTGGATTGGCATGATCCAAAGTAAAGAATGTGAGTCGATTGGAGCTGAATCTGTTTTTTGAGAATTCTAAAATAACCAGAAAAACACACATTGGATTGGCACGATGCAAAGTGAAGAATGCGAGTCGCTTGGAGCTTACACATTGCACTCACACGATGGCCACCACGACTCGGTGTGGTATGGCATGGCATGGCGCCATGCACAGCACCAAAGTGACTTGTGAGGCGAGGTGACTTTTGAGACGACCCAAAAAGAGCTTCCACATTGCATTCACATGATGGCAGGGTGGCATGCACAGCACCACAAAGTGCTGCATGCATTGATTTTTTATTTTGGAGTGCAATTGACGATCCTAACCACGCACCTATGGTGCATCAGAGCCTAACACTCACGCACCTATGGTGCATTCCGAGCCTGCCACGCACCTATGGTGCATTCAGAGCCTGCCACGCACCTATGGTGCATTCTGAGCCTGCCACTCACCTATGGTGCATTCCGAGCCTGCCACTCACCTATGGTGCATTCCGAGCCTGGGCCAACGGGGAAGAAGAGACCCGAGTCGTACAGATGGTAGTTGAGCTGCTGACGTGTCACCCCTGCCTGCACCCTGCAGTCCATGTCCTCTGCATGTACCTCCACCACCTGAAGACAAAAATGCCAAAAGACACGCAATCCAAGGCAAAAAGTGCCTGAAGAATGAAGACTTGCTCGAGATGTCATGTCACCCCTGCCTGCACTCTGCAGTCCATGCCCTTTGCATGTACCACCACCACCTGAAGACAAAACGGCAATAGGGCACGCAATTCCAAAGGTGCACATGTTTGCGGTGCCTGGAAATTGACTTGTGTGTCACCGTTGCAGTCCATGTCCTCTGCTCTGCATGCTTTGCACCTGAGATTTACCATCAGAACTCAGCACTCAGAACTCAGCGCCCAGCACTATGCACTATAAAGTATGCAGCATCTGCTCGTCCCTGCTACATGAGCCAATCAAGGGATGCGTTACCTGGTAACCCCATCGTACCTCGTTCATCTGCGACAGGTCAATGGAGACCCCCCCACAGAGCGCCGCCACGTGGCCTTCCAAAGAGGTGCCGGCGCCATAGGGAATGACGGGCACCCGGGCGGCAGCGCACGCGGTTACCACCTGTTGCACTTGGTGAGTGGAGCGGGCGAATGCGACTGCGTCTGGTGGCACAACCTCGTGGTATGACTCGTCCCCGCCATGCTGCTTCAACGCCTGCTGCCATGCCAGCATGTTAGTATGTAATGACCCCATAATACCATGCCATCATATCAATCAAGGCATGATGTTAAGCCGTCATGCCATCACATCGCCATCATGCCACCATATCCATACCGCACACCAAAGGAGAAAAGAAAGAGAGCCCTTTAGGAGGGCAGATGAAGAGGGGCAGAGAGGGCGGGAGAGGAGGAACAGCAGCGGATGAGGACCCTGCGAATGACCCACGTACAATTCCAATGCTCAGGAATCCCATCAGTATTTCCACTATTCAGGCATCCCACCGTTCGGTTCGTCTCCACGTTTGCGTCTCCCACAATGGATCGCATGCGACGCAGCAACGTGTCGTCCACTCGCCGTACGATGTCTGTCGCACAGAAGGAATGTCACAGAGGCTCGACATCGCGGGATTTTCGCCAGCGTTGATAGTTCCGCATCGCCCTGCCTTCAACTGTTTTGGGTTCATCTCTGCTTTGCTCTTCCAGGTCTCACCTTTCGTGCTCGAGAACGAGGGGACCATTGTGAGTCGACGCACGCTGGTGAGGGTCATTGGTTGGCATGAGACGTTCGTCACTGCCCCGCTTCACACCGACGCATCACTGCGGGCATTTGACGAGGCAACACGCAGGTACACAATGCAGTAGCAGTCCTACGCGTCTGGACGCATTGGGTGCAGCCTCATCACCCGTCTTCACCAGGCCTGTCGATTCAAGGGCATATGCCCTTAATGCCCTGAACATTCCGGGCTAATTTCGCTCCAGCTCGACTGCATAAAGTGTTACATTCGCACTGCACCCGTGCCACTAAGTGCCTCGTTCGAACCTTCCCCGGATGCGTTAAGGGCCCAAACCAGGCCTTCCCCTGTCTCAAAGTTTTGGTTTCCGGTTGTAGGACCCCCCCCCCCCCCCCCCCCCCAATTCTGCCCGACCCCTCCCCCCCCCCTTTTCTCCTTAGGTTGCATGAGAGAAGTGGATTTTTTCTCTTAGCGTTTTCTAGCCAATCCCGTGTTTGTAAAGTGTCTAAGTCAGCTTTGGAGCACCCGATTTTTCCCTTAGCGTCCAATACGAGTTAAAGATAGTGTAAGTGCAAACTCTTCACAGGCCCGGATTTCAAGTTTTCACTTTGGGGTGCGCCCGTGACCGTTAAGGGCACCCAAACGCTCAGCTACACCCAAAACAGGGTCAGATGGGGAGGAGGTGGGGAGCGCAAGTATGGGCCCGAGGAACTTCGACAGGCCTGGTCTTCACATGCTGGCTCTTCTCTCACCCGGGGTGTTTGACGCCGAGATGCCATGCGCATGTCCTTTGTTCACGTATTCTGCCTATGCCTTTTTGCATGCGCATTCGTTCCCGGCCAAAACAGCCTGGTGCAACTCGCTGGATGGAACCCGATCAAGGTGCATCTCGTCACGCACCTGCCGGATGCGATCAGGCGCGGTGGCCTGCCCCACGAGTACTCGGCCGCAGTGTACGAGAATGCTCACATCCGTACATGCAAGGCCCCCTACAGGGCATCAAACCGACGGCAATACCTTTTAACCATCGTGACCACAACAATGCTTGGGCGGATCCAGTCCAATCTGCCGTCGCCGCGCACGTACAACACAGCCATGACCCGGGTGAGTGCGAGAGCGGGCCTTATGCTAGCCTGTCAGAAATGTTGATCAATGGGTCAATGGTCAAGAGCTTGGGGCTTGATGGCCGTGGTGGGGAAGATGCTTGAGCAGCCCATGCGTGCATGCACCTGCTTATGCCCATACAGGCTATGGAGGTTGGTGGTCCGATGCTTAACTGACGGCGCGTGCTGATGCGGGGCCCCATCTATGTGCCGATTGGCCCTCTGGACTTGTACGGTGCCATTGATTCCGCCTTGGAGGGCGGGCTCGGTCCGTACTGCGGAGAGTCACTACACAACGGGAGTGGACTACGGTGGAGGGCACGGGGTTGTGCGAGTGATTGGATCTTTGCACTAGCGTTCTTACTGCTTGCTTGTGTTCACACAGAAGTTTGGCAAGAATTCCACCAAGGAAAGTTGAAAGAACAATTGAGGCATGCAGAACAAAAGGACTAGAATGGCATGCAACACCTAGCAAGGGCGAAATCTGCCAGCGCAGCAGAAGAGCGGCTTGCCAACGTTGCAGCAAAGTGGTATGCCAACGTTGCACTGCGCGCGGTCGGCCAGCACTGCAGTCGCATGTGACCATTTGCAGTCGTAGGTAACTATCTGCAGTCGCAGGTTGTCTATCTGCGCAGATGTGCGCACCTAGCAAGTTGGTGCAGGTTGGCGGTTTCACCGTCAGGCACATTGCGCAGGTGTCAGTTAGAAAACGTGTCGTCGGTTTCACCAGGTGCGCACCGTCGACCACGTGATGTCGTTCCGCAGGCAGAACTTCGCCAAAACCTCCTGGGCAAAAGTTCGCACGCCTCCGTAGAGTTTCGCACAACTCTGCAACTTCGGTCGATCCGTTCAACATCGATCGGTCGAACAACGTTCGCCGAGCAGAGCTTCTCGACCTGAACTCTTCGACCAGAGTTCCTCGACCCGAACTCTTCGACCAGAGCTCCTCGACCAGGATCGTCGACCAGTGCTCTTCGACGGGAGCTCGTCACGCAGAGATTGTCGACCAGAGTTCGTCGCGCAGAGCTCGTCGACCAGATTCTGTCGAGCAGAGCCTGCTCGACCGCAACTTCCGTCGAACTGTAGAAGCCAATTTCGTCAACAATCCCTCGCGAACTTCTCGCCGGCGAGATCGGCTGCGCCCAAGCGAGGGCGAGGCCTTTTCTCTTCGACACGTACAAGGTCGTGATGCACAGCAGCGGATTCCTGCCCTTCCCTGTGCGGGTATGTATGTAGTTGCTGTAGTTGCTCCCTTTACACTTTGCAGCATGTATGTTCACACTCGCGCACGCCCTACATCCACGTGCTGTCCAAAACCACGAAGCATGCGCACCCCTGATCTACCCCCGTGGCCGTGATTCTGAAACCGCCGTGGTGATGTGTTGTACCCGTGTATGGTTTTGGCCTCTCCCTTATAAACGCAGGTCCACTCCGCGCTCGCGATCCCGTCCCGCATCCTCTACGTGACCCTTCTCAAGCAGCACTATGCCCGTGCAATGCTCACCCATCACGATGGGCTAGCGTTCTCCTTTGTGGAGTTCCGTGACGAGCATGGCGCGCTGCAGACAGCTCGGACGAGGACGTGGAGGCCAGCGACATTGCGCTGGCCTTCATCCGCCGGTTTTCGCCCACTGGGGTGGATGAGTGCACTGGCTACATGGCCATGAGGCCAGAGACAGGTGCACAGGGTTATGTTGTTGTTCCCGTGGGCTATGTGCGCCGCACGGTCCACATGGTCTAGTCTTTCATGGACCATGGCCGCTGGTTCTTGAACAAGTGGGCTCTTAGGTGCCTCGAGGACACCCTATAGGCCGTTTGCCAGGTGCTTTTCTCGCCAGCACAAGAATGGGTGGTCCCGCTTTGGAATCCTGGACCCTGCAGTGGTGGACAAAGAGTGTCGTGCAGTGCAACTCTGCCTTGGGCAACACTAGAGCAATGGCCTGTTTTTTTCGTGGTAGCGCCTTTCCCCTTGCTGTTTTCCATCCTGAGCAGATGCTTGTACCCGTGATGGCACCAGCGGTGTGTAGCGGTGGTCTCTCCGCCAGCCCTACACACTGGCGGTCTGGTGCATGCTGTCTATATTACTTTCAAGAATCCTATATCCAAACTCTAATAATTTAGCCGATGTTTTACCTGGACATTTGCATATGATGTATGCCTTTTTTATGAGCATTGTTAAGAAAGTGAACATGCACCTTTGACATATATAGAACATTAGCCACGCATATAATTTGTAAAGGTGTACCACGTCTCGGCACGATACACAATTCCTTGATTCGCAATGGTCTGTGAATGCTACCCCTAGGGAGAATGCTCTAGCTTATCCTCACAAAACCTAAACCAGTCTTCGGCCCATGAACTTGTAGAAGACATGCTTTTGGGCATAGATGTGGGCGCCGCCTTTTTTGAGACGTTAGCAGCAGGATACGCGTCGGTTTCCGGATAATCCGGGTGTCGGTCCTTGTTCGTCTGTTGACGCTTCCCGGTCGCAACTCCTGTTCACTACTATTGTAAACGTAACGCTTTCGCTAGCTCGCAATGGCGTCGCTATCGTCGCTTCTCCAAGCAGCACACGCCGTGCCGTTTCGGCGACTCCTCCTCGTGGTGGCGTCAATGTCGTCGTAATTGCACCGTCGCGATTCCCACTGGTCGATTCCAAGAGAACCGCCGAGAATGACAGAAATAGCCGAACTTTCCAGGAAGGAATGACTGGATGCCGGAAGTTGAATTTGCGTGCGACGCACTACGGGAGGGCATTTGTGGCTAGCAGTGAGGTTGGGATCAACAAAGAACCCGGAGATGCTCACGCCGGCGCGTTGCAAGAACCACGGCAAAACGCAACGAGCGGAACTTGGGATCATAATGACTCCTAGGTGTTAACCGGAATGGAGTGTTGGCCCCGCCCTCGCTTGGGCAACGCCGACGACTTGGTCGGATGTACGGGAGAAGCAGCTGACTGTTCATAGTGAGGGAGCTGCTTGACGGGCTTCGGAGAGCTGCAGGGATCACTGTGGTGTTGCCATCGAACAGGGGTGCTTGACGGCCTTCTTCTGCTGGGCAGGTCGACGAGGTGGCTGTCGACCTGCACAGGCCTGTCACGGGGCTGGAGCCGTCGACCAGGGAGCTCGACAGCTGCAGCTGACTGGGCTGGTCGACAGGTGGGCCGTCGACTAGGAGGAGTAGTTCGACGGGGAGGTCGACGGAGCAGTCCGTCGACCTGCGTAGGGCATGTGAGCAGCAGTCGAGGAGGGGAGCTCGGCGACAGCAGCTGCAGTGCTGGTCAACGGAAGGGTCCGTCGACCAGGGTGTTGCTCAACGGGAGCTGTGGTCGACCAGAGGCACTTGGTGGTCGACCAGAGCACTTGGTGGTCGACCAGGTAACCTGCTCGACGAGTTCTGCGGAGGCACGCGAACGTCAT